CCATGTCAGGGTCAAGGCACAGGTCAACATCAACGAGCCATTGGTAAGTGCTTGTCTGTCTGTCAGACAACCACCGTAACATAGTGAAACTAGAATTACACAGTAAGTTTTCGAAGACACAAGCAATATTGCGGTGCGAAATGCAAATGAATGAGCTTCATCGCCACTTTGCGCAGTGCGCACGAACGTCTACAACGCCAAAGGAATCCTAAACCCGCCAGTTCTCCCCATTACATCGTCAGGATCGTATTTTGCCCGGATTGTCATAAGCTTTGGCAAATTTTGCTTGTAAATGTCCTTGACTGGAGTATCGCCGAGCGAGGTGTTGCAATATTTTGGCAACTTGTCATTAGTGCACCCTTCTGCCTCTGCCACCCTTTGGATAGACTGCAGGATCTGCATCATAAGCGCGATCCAGTACTGATCATTGTTCTCCCCTTCCCATTGGAAGCAGACAAGCAACGGCCCATTCGGCTGACCTTTCTCGTGCGGCCAGGCGGTGGCAGTGCTTGTGTCAAACATGCTCGGTAGGAATGGCCAAATCTCAATGACGGCTGACTTTCCCTGGTTGTCCTTCAGCTTGCTGGCAGCGAGCTGAGAATAAGAGCAATGAGAAAGACATTTACACATTCGGATGCCAAGGATGATGATACCTTCGATTGGTCCTCCATCTCATTCAAGAGCTTTCGGGTAAAGTGCGAAACCATCACAGTTCCCCAACGCGCCCTTAAGAAGTGAGTGAGACGAACATCCAGGAAATTGTTTTATAACATACCTAACATTCTCTTCTCCGACGCCAGCTCTAGAGGGATTCTTCGCGTATGTTTGTAAGGAGAGCCGTGTCCCATTAACTGGACAATCCAACGGCGCTGCAGTGACGCGGGACGGATCATGAATGTGGGAAAAGAGCTGGTCCATGAATGCAAAGTTTTCAGCAAGCTTTTGGTCCGCTGTGTCATGGAGCTCGTGATTAATCCATTTCTCGTCAGAGAGCTCGAGGAACTCTTCAAAAGGATTGTCGGCAGGAAGCGGCCCATCATAGAAAATTTGAACAGTGATCTTGTCCTGTGTCGACAGTTAATGTCAGTGCACAGCAAACTTTAGGGGTTAGACACACCTCCTGCCCTCCGCCGATGTAGAAATGTCTGTATGCAGCAACGATCGCTGCCTTCTTATCTTTGCTCTTGTCAATGTAGTTCATAATTGCTTCCTTCACCTGTGTGGCCTTATCAATTGGAAACTCGTCAACATGTTCCGCTGATTTTTACGAGATTAGCATGAAAGACACAATAAAAAACATGTGAACACTGACGTAGATAGGCCCCAGAGGGTATGTTTTGACAGTGAATGAAGTAACAATACCGAAGTTGTTCCCGCCCCCCTATTTCCGTGAGGACTAGGATAGTACCTGAGCATTTGACGAACTCACTCTTATAGCAAAGAAAAGGTCACTGTTGCGTTCAGCAGATGCCTTCACTGATTTTCCGTTGCACAAGACAACTGAAGCCTCAACTAAATTGTCTATTCCAAGACCGTACTGGTTAGTCAAGAGGGAGTAACCACCGCCTAGTAGCCAACCAGCCACACCAACACCAGCAGCGGTAGCCCCGCCGACGATGTTTCGCTTATACTGAGCTATATGCATGTAGACCTCATCGAAGAGGCATCCTGCTCCGATGCGTAGATTCTGGGTTTTGCTATTATATTCGAGTTCGTTGAAGTTGGCCATGGATATCTGGATGCCTGTAGTGGAACTGAAGCCAGGATTGGTAGAATGTCCTCCCCCTTTGACCTAGATAAAGTCGTGAAAATGGTGAGAAGGACTGATCATAACATACGCACTGCAAATTTCACTTTATCGTGTGTCTTGAAGACTTTCATCTAAACAATGTTCAATTCGGCATACATCCATTCAGAAACCAAGCACTGACGATTTTTTTCAAGTCATCGATACTACCAGGTTGAACTGCGCAGCGGGCTACTTCACAGCTACTCTCGAATTGATGAGAGACACTGAGCTTATAACCAGAGCCACCTTTTGATATACTACTTCAATGCTGTGATATAATGGCCAAGTAAGCGCTTTACCAGACCGCAAAAACTGCGAAACATTCTTCGAGTCTTTGCAAATTTTCTGAATTGCCTTGGTAGCTTCGATGTATTCTTCCTCGGTCCAAAAATGGGCGTCGTAGCTAGCGCCCGAGTCCCCGTCGCTGTTGTCATCTGACTGATCTGGCTCGTCACTGTAGTCAATGGAAGCATGGATTCCTTGGGCTGTGAAGCGTTTGCCAGTACTTCCCTAGAATTTGTATCAGCGAGATGGACTGATAACATAATAACAGTACACACCATACTGTCAACCTCGTAGGTTGCGCCATCCTCGGTGTACTACGATAGTGACTTGAGTTAGAAATCAAAAGCTGCTGCAGTGAACGACGCACTGAATCATCTGAATTGGCGCTGCCTGTACGGCCATCATCATTAACCTGCCACAAAATTATTTCAAGTTGAAGTCCTAATCAAAGCTGGTGCAGTCAGGGACGTACTGAATCAGCCGGATCGTTGGATCCTGCACCATGAGCAAGATACTGCAATCACACGGCAATATTAGCGTCTCCAGTATAGTAAACTAACTCAGCGAGAAGGAAAAACCTACAGGAGACATGATATAGCTTGTAGAAAATAAGTCGCTTTAAAGATTTGTGAATTGAAGGAAGATCTCTGGAGCGGATACTCTGTATAAACGAACATCCTCAATTGGGTTTTTATGAGGTACACTGATCACAGCAATGCTCTAATTGGGGTGACACCCAGTGCACACTGTGTTTACCTCACTCTGCGCTTCTCGCCCATGCTGCGAAAACAAGTACGAGTTCCCTTAGGCGAGGAATGCTTTCTATTGTTCGTGCACTGCAAAGTAGGCCGCCCATTCGCCACCGTGACGGTATGTAGAAATCCGGTCTTCACAAAGCTCCAGGACTGTACTACGTAACGGATTCCGTGCACCCTGGACTTGTCCATTCTGGATTGTAATGGAAGTGACAGATGTGAAGTAACACATCCGCCATCCAGCGGGTTCCAAACCCTGGATTTAGCTTGCACTGAGAATGGACCTTGAGCGCTACCGCATCGGAGCGCAGTCCAAAGACGAATACCATCCGTTTAAGGAAACGGAGGCTCAGGATGGCCATCCGAGTGCTGTACATTGGCCCTGTGGAATTGACTCGAGGACTGCTCAACTGGTGGTGACCAAATTGAGGCGAGGGGGATGCCATAGAGGACGGCCAGCTTCAAGATGCAAAAGAGCGATTCCCCAGTACTAACCATTTACTCCAAAGAGGATTGCAAGCACCATAGAGAATAAAGTGGAGGAAGTCCTTGAATTCGAATTGAATGATTCAGTCAGTTTGGCAAATATGTCACAAATATCTGACACTAAATGAACCATTCGTGGGAAAATTTCTGGTATAGCGATGTTCCTCTAATACACATCGGCTAGCTAGCTGCCATTAGTTACTAATGTCGCTATCTTCGACGTCGACAATCAAGAACCAGCTCAATGCTGCTCTGGGGCAGAAGGCCCCAGCCTATTTTGAAACACTCAGCCAGTTTGTTTCTGGCAAAGTATCCAGGATAGAATTCGACGAATCCGTTCGCCAGGCGCTGGATGCTCCGAATTTAGGTAAGTGCAATTACTCCTGGTGTTTCGCATCTGACATCAATCTAGTCCAGCTACACAACTCCCTTATCATCTCGTTGTTTGACTTTACCGTACACCGTCGACTACCTACACCCCCTCCTGATGTGTCGAAGCCGCCACCACGAAAACGTCGCCGAACGTTGCCTTACCAAGGCCCGGATGACAATGATGATACTTTGCGATCGTCGAGAATTAAACGATGGACTGTGTCTTTGGGAAAGCGCGAACGCGACCGCATACGAACATTGCAGTCTGCTCCTACTGAACGCCCTAGACCTCGGAAAGACACTGATGAGATAGCGCGCGATAGAGGGGTGTTGTTGTTAAGTGAGCGCGGAGGTACATATAATAGTCCATTACACTTCTACGACCACTGAAATTCTAGTTCATCAAAGATCCGCCTGGCAGTCGCTTGCCGTTGCATCTTGCATCGGTTTCAAGAGCTCCGACATTGCAACATATTTCGGATAGAGTTAATCTCATAGCAGCACAACATAATCTTGGCGCACCGCCACGTGCAGTAGCGTCGCTATTAATGCTTGCATTTGAGGTCCGTTATCCTTGAAAGTATTGGCATGCGATCCTCACATATAATTTCGCAGGCCAGACTGAAGCAACTTATAACGCACGCACTTTCTCTCACTTCGACGTCGCACGCAATCGCCTCCATAACTCCATCCACACGGCACTCACATAGCCGTGTTCTCACTGCATCATCTTTCGATACCCTATTCACGCTTTCACCTGCTGTGCTGCCGAATAAATCAGCCGCGGCTATGCGGCTAGCTATTGGCGACAACGACATTATGGATGATGAAGATGTTATTTTACTCAAGGATCGAGAGGTCCGAGATCAGCGATGGCAGATACTTGCTCTACTAGGCGAGCGAAGCACAGTCAACGAAGCCCTTAGGAATCTCAGATGACAGCCACCTACCTTTCTTTGTTATTTTCATTGCTGCCTGTTTCCTACTACCCACTCATTTTACTAGCATAGGATGTACAACAAGGATTTGAAGGCTGAACTTATCTTATGAATTACGGTAGCATAATTTACCGAATAGTGGATAAGGGCACAGACACAGACAAGACACAGATGTTTGCTGTCGAATACTCAGTCTGTGATATCCTTATGATTTGCATTCAGTCGATCGTCCACAAAATACAAGCTTTGACAAAATGTTTAATGCTCCACGAGGGAACATCATCCCCTCAGAATGGCTCAGAATCCACTGACAACTCACTCTTCAAGCACTTCGCATCAAGTGCTACGGGGAACTAGAAACCCGACAAAAAAAGATGGCCAACGTGGGGATCGAACCCAAGACCTTCGCGTACCAAGACTTGGTATTAGCACGACGCTCTAACCAACTGAGCTAGTCGGCCGTGGTGAAAAGCCACAAATATGTTGTGATATTGCTGCGCGCCTCCTGCCACATACGACTTCAACTTGAATGAAGATTTTGTCTGCCACCGCTGAGCCGGGAACGGCGTCATGCGTACCTTTGGAGCCGGTAAACTCGGAGAGACGGCCTCGAAGCATACCACTGTTCCAGAGCGGAAACGAGTGATGAAACTGGGAAGGCCAGCTGAATTGCATGGTTCGCTAGTAAACCACTGTCACCCATGTGTAGCGCGCGGCCACCTGCTATGAACCGCATTTGTCGTATCTGTACCGCATTGCCGTGGCAGCTACCACTGTAATTGAATTTTGAAGGTGAGCAGGTTCTTCTTGGGCAGTGGGTAGTTGAGCACGGATGCCCGTAAATACTTTGGGGTGGAATATGGGGGCACAGGCTGGAATCTGCTGGATACCGGGTATGATACAAGGAGTAGGCAACGATCTGAAATATCAAAGAATATACTTAATCGGCAATAGTTACCGGATTGGCTTCGGATAAAAGCCCGCTCGATAGCACAGAGTCTGACAGAATTACTGATTATCGATCATCAATACAGATGGCAGCAAAAGACAGAGGAGATGAAAGGAAGCGGCTCACAATGTTCGAGCCCGGATAGCTACTAAGAACCAGACCCCAGGAAACTTGTCGAGATACGTTTGGGTACTTGAGAGGTTCAAAGGAGAAGGCATGGCCGGTCAGATGAATCAAGCATTTGTCTTCCTATCTGCCTCGTGGGACCTTGCTATAAGGATGTTTTTAATAGTGAATGAACTGTGGCCGGAATAGCGTAAATCGGCTTTCGGTTAGGGAATTCAAGGGTTGTAAGGTGTGTGTTCCAGTAATTATAACTTGAAGGTAACCATGCATGGTGGAATTGAAACTACTATTGCCGAATTTGAGCTGGCATAACGGCTGTCGGCGATCTTTTCAATCTTATATCCACTTGATATTTCTTGGTCTATGCATAGTGCTATCACCCCATATGCGATAGCGTTCTTGCATACTACTAGTTGCAGTAATCGTCGGTTATTGGCATTATGACAGTTGTGGCGACAAACGTATATGTCAAGGATTATGATGATAGCCTCATGTTCGGGCCATCGATATCTAATGAAACACGAGGAAAGTCAATATTCCAAATTTCCAATGCATTGGGACCGAAATAAGAATACCCAAGCCATGCACTCTGCAACCTCAGGTGCAAGATACCCGTAATCCTTCCCCCAAACCTACCTCAAACCCGCCCCACACCAACAACCTCTAATAAAATGGCGCGGCTCAACACACCCATTCGAACGTTTGGAGACCATGAAGCAAACATATCCGCAGTCGCAGTTTTTCCTGATAGACAACGGATCGTAACAGGCTCAGGCGACAAGACGCTTCGTCTGTGGGACTTGAAGACAGGTACAATGTTGAAGAAAATGGAGGGGCATCAAACCAACGTGAACGCATTAGCGGTAGCACAAAACGGGAAGTTGATTGCAAGTGGTGATGAGAGCGGAGAGGTCATCGCTTGGCATGGAGAAACTGGGGATTCCCTAACCCTGGCAGTTATCAAAGCCCACAACAGCAGTATCAGCTCGCTGGATTTTTCCCCAGATGGCTCAGTACTTGCAACTGGCTCATCGGAGGACAAAACAAAGCTGTGGGGTACAACTGCGTGGCATCTGCAAGGAAAGTTAAACTGTGGTGCAGATGTCAGTTGTGTTCGGTATTCCCCGGCTGGCGCCGGTGAACTTCTTGCCATCGCATCGAGCAACCAAATTGAAATATGGAATCCACGCACGGAGAGACTCGTCGCACTTCTCAAGGGCCACGAATCATACGCCTTGTCACTTGTGTGGACGCCTGATGGCACTCGTCTTCTATCCGCGGGCGATAGTTATGATCCTACCATACGGGAGTGGGATACATCGACCTGGAACCAGGTCGGACCGCCCTGGGAAGGCCATACCGAAGACATCACCAGCCTTGCCGTGAATGCTTCTGGCACCATCGTCGCCTCTGCATCTATTGATAACTATATCTGCATCTGGCAATTACCCCTTCCACCCGTCAACTTGAAGCACACTTCCAGTGTACAATGTGTTGCCTTTTCCATGGATGGCAAACACATCCTCAGCGGAGGCAGTGATAATAAGATCTCTGAATGGGCAGTGTCGCACAAGCAAGTGGTAAATTCTCAATGATCTCCTTCCCTTTCGTTATCTAATCTCACGTCTTTGGTGCCAAGGCTCAGGACTCAACTGATTTGAAGGTAACGGTCTAGTGACAACGTTGACTTGTACAATTTAAGTCGAGTATGCCACCCCTTCATGTAGATTCTGGCTATCAACACGGCAGTCCGTGATGCGTGCATCAAGGGGGACTTGCACACCGCTGAAGTGCTGCTGACACAAGAGATCGACGCTGATTCCAACACTGATTATGATTCGTATGCAAATCGCTCAATCGTCATGGTGCGAAAATTCGACTGGGATCACGCGCTTGATGATGCAATCAAGGTAAGACACGCCGATGCGTCATTCCCCATTCACATAGGCTAACTCAGAAAATGACTTAGTCTATCAGCATTCAGCCCTCGTTAATTGGCTATATCTCCAAGGGCCTCGCCCTCTGCAGAAAACAACAGCTTTTTGACGCGACGAAAGCATTTGACTTCGCGTTTACGTACACAAATGGAGATCCAAAGCTGGCTCATTACCTTTTCTTGATCAAGGCAGGTCAAATCTTCTTGACACTCGTGCGCTCCATTACGATTTTCAGGCCGTTGCATTATTCAATGCAAATGCACACGAAGAAGCAGTGCTGCCCGTACAAGAGCTAGCAGCTCGTCCCAATGCCGATCCCCTTGCTTGTCGTATCGTGGAAGTAAGTATCACACACTCAATTCAGGTCCGTGTGCTCACGTACATCAGGCGTGTTTGCGACTCCAGCTAGGAAACATTGCTACAAATGGCGCCCGTCACAGAGAAGCTGCTGACCACTTCACTGCCGCCGTAAATGCTAGTGCTTCCTTTTCTAAATTGGATATCCATTCCATGTACGAGGATCTTGCCTTGGTGGGTTCATATGAAATAATTGAAAATTTTTCATGCTCAACTGCGTGCTTTTGCAGCTTTTCGGCTGGGACCTCAAGTCCTTATGGCAAACCGTGAACCAGCAACGCTGCCATGCACTTGTTGGTGCAGGTGACGTTGGGTCAGCCCTCGAAGCATGCCTATACATGATGGACATGAGTGATGAACGCACCAAGGCCAGTTTCCGTGCTTGGATCCCTGGTAAGTCTTCACTAATGCCACCCAGCTTTGATGCTCACCTGCATGTCACTCAGCTCTCAATGGAGAACGAAGCACGCTTTATATTACCGATTAAGATACTACCATAGCACGACTCGGCGAAAAACTCAAATATTTGCGCCATTTTGACTTTCAACCATCTGTATTTGATAGTTCCCTTATCGTATGTCAGCCCATCACATAAAGATATCATGCTCACTTGAGAGGACGAGAGCGTTGGGTGAGGTTATTAGACCCTACTTAGTGCTACTAGTACTACTTGTGTATGTATCCGCGGGTTAGTACGGGTATACTTATTGTAGTGTTGATCTTCTGACCCTCGGGTGTGCCCGTGCTATACCCCGTTTTTCACCAAGAATCAGTTAAATGATAAAGAATAACATGATCGTTGATCAACGTAGGATGTGGACCATCGCTATACGCGCCATCACCGTGACATGTTTGAAAGGAGATGCCTAAAATGCTATCACTGAGCTAGTGCCTCCACCACAACTTTCACGCCCCATGCCCCAGGATCAGCGACCCGCTCAGCCTTCAATTTTATGCTATCAACATATGCGCTCCTGCCAACCTTCGCCACTATGTCTTTCGTCCCTTCAGCAGCCTCTCTAGCGGCCACCACGGCTGTAGCAAGGCCGGATGACAGCGCACCGATGAACGCAGCAAGAGGGTCGACCAGTGTGCGAGAAGGAGGTCGCGCCAAGGTGTAAGTATACAAACGAGCTAGAGCAGCTTCTAGTGCCGTGCACCATACTTCTTGTGTAGCGATCGAGGAAGAGCTTTTAGCGAGCGCTTGGGCGAGGGCAGAGAAGAAGATTCTAACACATGAAGTATGAGATGTGAATCAGATCCAGAGGAACTTCACCGACGAATAGAGGGCTCCGCTAGTTCCTCCCATCGCGTCCTCAGCGATACGAGAGATTGTGATGACGCTGCCAAGTACGTCGTTGCCGGAGATGCTGTTTTCGTTCAGAGCCTCGAGCACAGCTGTATGCATATGATGAGCATACATTCATATCATGATCGTAATGTGAAGCACCTGTAGCACCACCTTTGAGCGTAAGTCCGCAGTCCCCATCACCAGCGATGTTGTCCATGCGAGTAATCTCGGGCTCAGCAGTAATGAGGGCCCGACATGCACGCTCTACTGCACTGTTGAATTGATTGATATCGGGGGCTTTAAGTGAGGCTGACCAGGCTTTCGCGTGGGTTGCAGTCGGGAGGGACGACGAGACAGATGCTGGCTTTGGGACAGACCTAGAGGACCACTTCCATCCTGGGGTGTTGGTACTATCATCGAGTAAGGAAAGGATAAGATCAGCAGATGGTGTTCCCGTGTCGTTTGCGGCGGGAAGGAGGAGCATAGTAATTGAAAATCCGGGCATGTTGAGACTTGTCTAGCAGGGGCTATCATCAATTCTAGCAAACATAAAGGAAATCAACAAACCATGAAAGAGCCAGAAAGCAGGCGCATGATTTTGATTGCAGATTTGTCAAGAGCACGCCTCACTTCGGCGACTACTCCACCGAGCTCGAGTTCGCTGAGACCTCCAAGGTTATTGACGAGGAGAACAACACGGTCTGTGGCATCGTTCTTGAAGGGAACGAACGACCGTTCTTTGTCTGTTGTGGACGTGATCATTTCGAGGAGAGTGGGGATGAGTTCGTTGAGTGGTGGAAC